TTGCATTGGTCCATACGCATATCCTTACGCTAGTACCACTGTTTTGTTAACTGTTGCTTTGTAGTAAGCTTTGAAATTGGGAAGTTTGAGTCCTACAACTTTGTTCTTTTTCAGGGTTGTTTTGCCTATTATAGGCCCTTGAATTTCCATATTAATTTTATACATATATATTTTCATTTCTAGAAAAAAAGCCATTGGGAATTTGATGAGGATTTAACTGAGTGTTATGTTTAACCCATAATCATAGGATGAGCTTTCATTTATTTGTCTTTAATGTCTTTTAAGAATGTTTTCCCGTTTTTGTCGTCTTTCACCTCCTTGGATAAATTTATTCCTAATTATTTTATTCTTTATAATACTATTGTGAATGGAATTGTTTTCTTAGTTTCCTTTTTGGATTGTATCATTCCTAGTGTATAGAAATAACTTGAGTTTTGTTTGTTGACTTTGTATCCTGAGTTTGTTTCTTAGCTTTAATAATTTGTGTGTGTGTATCCGTTTTTTAGAATTTTCTACCCAATAGGATCGTGTCATCTGCAAATAAGAGTTTTCCTTTTTCCTTTCCAATTTGGATTCATTTTCTTTTCCTTGCATAACTGCTCTGGTTAAAATTCCAGTATTTTATTGAATAGAAGTGGCAAAAGTAGGCATTCCTGGTCTTAAGAGAAAAGCTTTTAGTCTTCCATAGTGTTGGAGAGGTTCTCTTCTATTTCCTAGTTTATTGAGTGTTTTGTTTAATCAGGAAAAGGTGCTGATTTTGTCAGATGCTTTTTTGGAATGAGTTGAGATGTTTAGTTTAATGAGTTCTCGGATTTTGGAGCTGTTTGAGGAAAAGACATGACTATAAATGGCAGTTGCATGCTTTATTGGGGGTAGTTTTATTTGAGCCCTGTTAGGTTGCAAGAATGCATCGCCCCTTCCTGAGACAGCAGCATGGGCCACCACCCAGAACGGGCGAGCAGGGCCACGGAACTCCTGGAGGAGAGGGAGGTTCCTTCCAGGGAGGTAGAAGCATTCAGGAATCTCTGGGTTCAGAAGTGCAAAGTGCAGGAGGCCTAGGGGTCTTCATGGCCCAAGGTTTGTCTTATTTACAGCTTCCAGATGCTGGGTGTAATTTTGGTGAGCATGCAGAATGGGTGGGTTCTAAATGACTGAAAATATGTTTGTTTGGGCTTCATATAAACAGTTGCATGTGAAAATTTTGATTTGGCTCTGGTGGAAAAGTTTCATCGAACCCACGTCTCTTACGTCTCCTGCGCTGACATACGGGTTCTTTACCCCTGGCACCACCTGGGAAGCCCCAAAGCTTTCTAAGAGCCCTTCAGATGTTTTTAGGGGAATGTGTCACAGTGTGGCATTGCCATGGGCACCACCTCGCCCCAGGGGGTAGCTCAGCATAGAGCAACCCCATGTGGTCCTTTGGCTTTGAAGTAAGTCTTTGAAGTAAGACTTGGTACAGACGAGGAATCTGAGCACAGCTAGTGATGCAAGGCCGGAGAAGGCAATGGCAGCCCACTCCATTACTCTTCCTGGAAAATCCCATGGTCATGACTGAAGCGACTTAGCAGCAGCAGCAGCAGTGATGCAAAGCAGCACCCGGGCCCCATTCCCTGTCTCATCTCCGCATACTGCATGCCGGCTGTTGCTTGCTGCTGTTTGGACTCACATAGTGTGTTCCTGAGTTTTCTGTCTCCATCAGGCATCACATATGCCTAGTTTTATGTTCCCTGTCCCTGCTTCCTGTAGATGGGCTAGAAAATCAGATGACAGAGTCACTTTTAAAATAAATAAAAAGGAAGGTATTAATACTTTTGCACATTTATTTTGCCCACCAGATGATAACATTGCTTCATTTAGTTTCTTAACTGATCATGTGGTGGTATTTTTTTAGTTTTTTGGAAAAGTGAACACCATAATTAAGCCATGACTTGCTTGACAGTTGTTTAAGACAAGAGCTTCAAGACATTTGACTAAACCGTTTTCCACATCAGCAGCAGTTTAATATCAGTGTTTAGTCTTCAGAAAGTGTCAAAAAAAAAAAAAAAACAGGTAACGTGTAATTGTTCTGCCAAGTACTTTTCTGTTATGATTCAGATCTCTAGTATCTCATAATGATGCCTAGTTTCCTAAAATAGCAGCCTTCCTGCCAACTTTAAAGTGACTGTGCTGTCATCTTTGAAGAAAAATGAGTGTAATGGTCACCAGTTGCTTTAAGCTACTGTCTCCATCCATTAGACCCGTGTTCTGAAGTAAACTGTAACCCTTCCTGTGACCAGGACCATGTTCATGGGTGGAGTGTTCAGTTAGGGCTAGGTTCTCTGACATTTGGAGATTACATAATACTGCTTTTGCTTTGGATGTAGTTCTGTGTGTATTTTAAACAAAACATGCTCCGTAATGTGTAGGAAGCTAGATTTTCTTTGAGCTGTACTTTTTTTTCATGTAAAATCATAAGTGATTTTACAAGTGTGTATCATTCACTGTCTTGAAATTTGTATTGTAAAATTTCATGTAAGAATAATTTCATTATGTAAACATGAGTTCTAAAATTCTGCCATTTCTCACCATCAGCTCATTCTGTCCCTACCTTCCACCCTCAGGATATAATTAACTGTCTTATCTGACAACTGCATTTTCCCTGGCTTCCCTCATAGCACAGTTGGTAAAGAATCCACCTGCAATGCAAGAGACCCCGGTTTGATTCCTGGGTCGGGAAGATCCTATGGAGAAGGGATAGGCTACCCACTCCAGTACTCTTGGGCTTCCCTTGTGGCTCAACTGGTAAAGAATCTGCCAGCTATGTGGGAGACCTGGGTTTGATCACTGGGTTGGGGAGATCCCCTGGATAAGGGAAAGGCTACCCACTCCAGTATTTTGGCCTGGAGAATTCCATAGTCCATGGGGTCGCAAAGAGTCAGACACAGCTGAGCAGCCTTCACTTTCTTTGTCACAATAAAAGCTTTTGATCCGCATAACTAGGCTTTCAATACAGAGTTGATTGGAGGGAGACAAGGAAACTGTTGATCTAGTGTGTGGCAACTTCATCATAGTTTATTCCTATAGGATTCGTTTCAGTTCAGTTCAGTTGCTCAGTCGTGTCCCAACTCTTTGCGACCCCATGGACTGTAGCATGCCAGGTTTCCCTGTCCATCACCAACTCCTGGAACTTGCTCAAACTCATGTCCATTGAGTCAATGGTGCCATCCAACCATCTCACCCTCTGTTGTCCCCTTTTCCTCCCACCTTCAATCTTTCCCAGCATCAGCGTCTTTTCCAGTGAGTCAGTTCTTCGCATCAGGTGGCCAAAGTATTGGAGTTTCAGCTTCAGCATCAGTCCTTCCAATGGGTATTCAGGACTGATTTCCTTTAGGATGGACTGGCTGGATCTCCTTGCAGTCCAAGGGACTCTTAAAAGAGTCTTCTCCAACAGTACAGTTCAAAAGCATCAATTCATCAGCGCTCAGCTTTGTTTATAGCCCAACTCTCACATCCATACATGTGTGCACATACATGTGTACATACATAGGATCCCTTTAGACTTTATGAAATAATGAAAACGACTCCTTGCCCCCTTTCTGGAGGTTTTGAGAACTTGGTTTTGGACACCCCCCCCCCCCGGTTTTTTAGCTTATTTAAAATGATGTATTTCTGGGCTTCCCTGGTGCTACAGTGGTTAAGAATGCAGAGGCACCAGTTTGATCCCTGGCCCTGGAAGACCCCCACATGCCACGGGGCAACTAAGCCCGGGCACCAAACTACTGAGCCTGTGCTCTAGAGCCAGGGAGCTGCACCAGCTGAAGCCCAGAGCTGGCACTCAGCCCGAGAAGCCCGTGCGCGCAGGAAAGCCCAGCCCAGCCCAAACCCGACACATTTGAGTTTGTTCATAGGCAGCAAGTGGTTCAGGGATAAAAGACTGGATTGAGTTAAAACAGAGTTACTCCCAGTGGCTGCCGGCAACTCCCCTTATCTCTTAATGCCGGTCACTCCATTCTCCTGTGTACTTGCAGTGCTGGGAAGGCGCTACGGATGAAAAAGACAGCCAACATGATTATGTCGAAAATATGAAAAAACGTATTTAAAAACTAACCTCTATATGAACTATTCTAACCGAAAGTACTTCTGCCTGCATGTCTGTAAAAGGAAAACATGGTTGCTGTCCCATTGGGCGCTTCAAAAAATGAGTGAAGATTATATTGGAAACATTAAGGCCATGTTTTGTGAGTGCTGAGCGTCTGAATTACTCTAGTCACTGACACCTGAGCACTAAGGGCAGGGAAATGAAACTTCTTTGCCGCCAATTTTTTCTGTCAACTCTGGGGCATTTATTCTACTTCGTAGGGGTTAAGCCATGTGCTGATTTGTGCTGTCATTTGCTTGCTTTTTCTTAAACTTAACTGCTGTTCTGATGAAACGTTCAGATTTCCTTGGAAAAGAATAAAAGGCTGTGAACACTTTATTGGGCTTCCCAGGTGGCACAGTGGTGAAGAATCCGCCAGTAAATGCAGGAGACTGCAGGTTGGATCCCTGGGTCGGTAAGATTCCCCTGGAGTAGGAAATGGAAACCCGCTCCGGTATTCTTGCCTGAAAAATTAAATGGAGGAGCCTGGCGGGCTACAGTCCATGGGGTTGCAGAGTCGGATACGACTGAGCACACAAAAACAAAACACTGTTAAGCGCGCGTGTGTAATTTTCTGGAACGTTTCTTCTCCGCGGGAGGCAGATTCGGCCCCGCCCCTCCCAGTTCAAAGCTCCTACTGAGGCTAAGCTCGCGCCCCGAATTGCCGGCTGACCGCGGCCCGCAGAGAGCAGCTCGGGTTCCTCTCTGGTCCGCGCGCGCCCCTCCCCCGCGCGCGTCTCCGGCCCCGGCGGCTGGAGGGGGACGCAGACGCGCAGTCCCGGGCGGGGGAGGGGACTTGTGGCCTCACGACGGCAGGGGCGGCCCAGTTCTCGCGAGGCTTCCGCTTTGACGGGAAGCGGCGGCAGCGCCGCGTGGGGTACGGATGCGCTCGGAGGATGGAGCCGGGGGCCCCGGTGTGGCCGTAGCTATGCGGGGTCCGAGCGGGAGGGAGAAACCATCACCCGCAGAAAGCCAATTCCGCCGGGAGTCTCCGCGGCGGGAGGCCGAAGCGCCGCTGGCCTCCTCCTCCGGCTGTGGGAGCGGCGCAGGCAAACCTCGCGAGGAAAAGAGGACGGTCTTGAGCAAAGTGAGGGCGGTGCGGGGGCGGTGCGGGCCGGCAAACCTCGCGATAAGAGACTGCCCTGAGCAGCTGAGGGCGGGGCCGCTGGCTCTCCAGCACCGCGGACAGCGGCGTCTGGGCGGTGAGGAAGCGATTGGCCGCCCACTCCAGCGTGCTCGGGCCTCCCGGGGTGGCTCAGCGGGTAGAGAACCCGCCCGCAGTACGGGAGACCGGGGCTCGACCCCCGGGTCGGGGGAGATCCTCTGGAGACTGGCCACTCCAGTGTTCTGGCCTGGAGAATTGCTTGGACTGTGTAGTCCATGGGGTCACAAAGAGTCGGACGCAACTGAGCGACTTTTACTTCACTTTGACCTTCCCGGGTGTTTCCCGGCGAGGCTGGGACGCCGGGCCCGCCAGCGCCATGCTGCGCAGTAGCTTTCCTCGCTGAGGGGAGCCGGGCCGGCCCAGCGGGGCCGCGGGCGGGCGGCAGACGCTGCTCCCCGGGCGCTCTGCCGTGGCGCCGCCTGCGGGTCCCGACCGCGTCGTAATGAGCGCGTGGGCCGCACTGCCAGCGGCTGTCTGGCTTTAACGACCATTGCCTGGGGAAGGGCTACTGTCCGCAGCCTTGTCTGACGTCACCGATCCCTGTTAGACTATTGGGCCCTCGTATTTCACTCATTTTAGGGTATTTGTTGTTGTTCAGTCGCCCAGTCGTGTCCGACTCTGCCACCGCATGGACTGCAGCACGGCAGGCCTCCCTGTCCGTCACCATCTTCCGGAGTTTGCCCAAGTTCATGCTCATTGCAGCGGTGAGGCTGTCCAGCCATCTCATCCTCTCACGCCCTCTTCTCCTGCCCTCAAGCTTTCCCAGCATCAGGGACTTTTCCCAATGAGTCCTCTGTTCGCAGCAGATGACCAAAATACTGGAGCTTCAGCTTCAGTCCTTCCAGTGAATATTCAGGATTTGATCTCCCTTAAGATTGACTGGTTTGATCTCCTTGCTGTCCAAGGGACTCTCAGGAGTCTTCTCCAGCACCACAGTTGGAAGGCGTCATTCTTTGCTGTTCTGCCTTCTTTACGGTCCACCTTTCACAACCATGATATCCTAAAATACTCCGAGCTGGATATTCTGAGCAGAAACGGGGTGACCGGGATGCGGGTGGTGGTTGTTTAGTCGCTAAGTCGTGTCCCACTTAGTAGCTGCAGCTTAATGAGGTTCTAATGAATCCAGCTACCGACCTCTCTCCCCAGGTGGTCATCCGGCGGCTTCCCCCCAGCCTCACCAAGGAGCAGCTGGAACAGCAGCTGCACCCGCTGCCTGCACACGATTACTTCGAGTTCTTTACTGCTGATGTCAGGTGAGAAGACCTCACCAGCCTTGGGACGCCAAGCGGGAGTTCCCCGGCGGTCCAGGGTTAGGACTCCGAGCTTTCACTGTCCGCACGGTTCAACCCCTGAACGGGGCACTAAGATCCCACAGGCTGTGCCATGGGGCCAAGAAAAGGAAAAAAAAAAAAAAAGAGAGAGAGAGAGAGAGAGGCACTGTCGTTGGATGGTAAAGTAATATAGATAATAGAAGCCATCTCTGTTTAAACTTCTTTCCCACACGTATGCAGAAATCAGTGCAGACCATTATTTCTTCAAGTTATTTCTAAGTAGTCGAATTACTAAATTCCCTTAAAATGATTTGAGTATCTCCATAGCATCAACATAGTCTAAAAAGAAAAGCAGTCTAACACCATATTACTTAATTTTGTTTTGGATATCACTGAACTTTATTTACCCCTTCCCTGGTGGCTCAGAGGTTAAAGCATCTGCCTGGAATGCGGGAGACCCTGTGGATCGATCCCTGAGTTGGGAAGATCCCCTGGAGAAGGAAATGGCAACCCACTCCAGTACTCTTGCCTGGAGAATCCCAGGGAGGGAGGACCGTGGTAGGCTACAGTCCATGGGGTTGCAAAGAGTCAGACACGACTGAGCAACTTCACTTTAAACTTTATTTAATACTACCTTTTATACGAAATAAATTGTATTAAAATATAAGAAAGAAAAATGAATAAATAATAGATGTATAACCTAATGAGTTTTTACAAGTGAACACACCCATGTAACTCAGACCCCAGTGTTCCCTTCCAGAACTGACACCCCTACTTTCAACCCACCTCTGCTAAGTTATGTCTCTTTCTGTTCCCTTTTTTCGGCTTGGTAGTAAGATGTTTCTGTCAATGCTTTAACAGTTCAATATCTATTTTTTATTAAAAAAGAGCAGACCTCAAGTTAGCTCAACAGCGGACAGATCAGCTAGAATTTAGTGAATTTCACTATGTGATTTCTTAGTGATTTCACATTATCTGTAATATTTTTCTCTTCAGTATCATGAATTCTCATTTATAGCAGTCATCATACTTTCCTCTTGAATAAATACCTTTCAGTAAAAAATGTCAGTTCAGTCAGAGAAAAGTATCACAAGTAAATATAGATTTGGGTTGTTTTTTTTTTAAAAAAACAGAGGAGAAAGGTTTAGTTCTATATCCCATGCTGCATGCTATAATAAATACTCTTTTAAGATAACATAAACATGCTCTTTAAATCTGTAAAGGATCTCTTTACAATATAACATTTTTTCTGAATGAATCATGACTGGGTTGTGTTGCAGTCATGATGTATGATTAGGAATGATCTCTGAATAACTTTGCTTTTGATTTCTTATCTCTGAGAACCAGTATTTTAATCCTGGCTCTGTGTAGTAGAGAAACCAACCTAAAGTATCTCTGAAATCTTTAAAAAAAATCTCAGTTAATATTTTGTTTGGATTTTTTTGATGAAGAGTACCCAGATTGTTGTAATTAACTGAGAAATGATTCTTTGGAATAAAGGTTTTATCTGAAATAGTTTGTTGTATCCAGAAAAGAAAAAAAAAATTAAAAGAAGTCTTAAGTTGTTTTGGTCTTAAGTTTTTTACTGTTTTCATTGTTGTCTCTTCTTTCAGTCTTTATCCTCATCTCTACTCAAGAGCATACATTAACTTTAGAAATCCAGATGACATCCTTCTTTTTAGAGATCGTTTTGATGGATATATCTTCATTGATAGTAAAGGTTGGGTCATTGGCTTTTTAAACTCTTCATTATAATTTCTGGGTACATTAATTAAGTTTTGCTAGATGTTTGTGAGTTTTAATTGAGTCCATAGATGCTAATCTAAAATAACTTCTTTAACTTTGATTATGTTACTGTGATTATGAGCTTATGTTGAAAATTAAAATTATATATAAACCAAAGAATTCTAGCAATTTTGTGTAGACAGCCTACTTAGGTATTATCATTGGACAGTGAAGTTTTTCTCATAATGAGTTTTCTGTATAAGTAAACTTTACTATTTCATGTAAAATTTTTCTGGATAAGTAAAATTCATTCTCTTATGCAAACTAAATTATTTTGTCCTAGTACTATGTACTAGGCATTATGGGCACAGCATGAAAAGTGAATCAGACATTGTCCCTGTCTGTCTGAAGCCCTGCTCTTCTCCTGGGTCTTGACTTTATGCTGCATATTTGAGTATAAAGCAAATATAGAAAAGTGTCTTGCAGATAAATGAGAGTTAAAATATCAGTCATCCGACAAATATAAAAGTGGCTATGGGGGACGCCCAGACTCCCCGGTCCCTCTGCCCTGGTTCCAGACTTAGTGAGGCAGTGCCCTGAGACTTGAACTATACGTACCGGCTTTTATATACCAGAAGTATTTTTTGACTAAACCACTGAAAACTGTCAGACCCGTGTTGGAAATGTTTTCTTCTCATTAAAGTCCAGGCCCTGAGCTTTGTTCCCAAAAAAAAAAAAAAAAAAAAGTGGCTAAAGGGTTTGGTACCAAGGTAGAAGTGTTTCATCTCTTGATTAAGCAGATTCTGTTAGTAAACATTTCTGTTTGTCCCCCACCCCAATATAGCAACAAAATTAGTTTCAAGTTACTTTCATCCTGAATTTTTCTGTATGAAGCAAATCTTACCTGAATATCATGTACATCCTTTGAAACCCTCTCTTTAAATGAGTGTCTCTTGTAAACTATGTCACTTCCTCGAATTCATATAACAGATTAATCATTGAATTAACCTTTAAAATTAAAAAATATAAGCTATGACTAGAAAAGCTATTTAAAGGTATTCCAAAATAAGCTCTTTGGTGGGAGAGTGAAGAGGTTTATTGAGGTATAAGTTACACATGGTTAAAAAGTACCACTTTAAGGTATATAGCTTAATGAATTTTGAATATTTAACCACATGTAACCACAACTACAATGTAAGGAATTAGTTTATTTAGTAAATAATTGCTAATTCTTTGTTTAAATCTGGAGCTACGATTACTGTTATTTGAAAGTATAATTAAATTATAGTTTAAATGGTAACATTATCAGTGCTATGCTCAGTGCTCAAGTAAGCTAGATTATTGTTTCAAAATAAATACAGTAGAATTTCAGAATGGCTTTTGTAATTTGTTTCCTGTTAAAGGGCTAGAATATCCTGCAGTGGTAGAATTTGCTCCATTCCAGAAGATAGTGAAAAAGAAGCTAAAGAAAAAAGATGCCAAAACCGGAAGCATTGAAGATGGTGAGTCCTTTTTCAAGTAGTGGATTGTGAAGCTTCAAAATTAAGCACATTGGTCAAATATAATTCTTTCCCATACATGGGAAGTAATACATTCCTCTTTTTTTCTGTTTTAATTTACAGACCCAGAGTATAAGAAATTTTTAGAAACTTACTGTGTGGAGGAGGAGAAAACTAGTGCCAGTCCTGAAACTCTTCTGGGAGACATAGAGGCAAAGACACGAGAACTTATTGGTCTGTTTTGCTAATTTTTTCTCTTTATTGAGATATGTATTTATAGAGTATATTTTTTCTTTTTCATGATATAAAAAATGGACACATGTGACAGGCTTGGCAGAAATATAGAGTGTTTCCCAGTTTTAACAAAAGGAAAAGGATGTCAGCATGGCAAATGGGGAAAGTATTTCTGATTATCTCTCGGTGGAGAGAGAACACCTGAGTTTTCAGTTACGATCATTCTGCTTCAAAGTTCTGATGCTCTGAATTGGCAGCCAAGAATACATCTGAGTGCTGTGTGCTGGGCTGCGTCAGGGAAGCTTATGTCTCAGAGCTGAAGTCAGTTATCTTTGTAAAGAGCAGCCACAGTAATGAGATGCTTTGTTTAAGTGTGATGTCATCTTGCCATCATTCAAAAACTGTCACAGCCCCTGAGCAAGTGAGGCAGATGCGTGGATAAGGCCAGTCAGAGTGCTGAATCTTGTTTGAATCAGGCCTTCAGCCTTCTACCCACAAGTGATATATTTGGGGAATGGCTGTATCCTAGTAGCAATCTGCCCGAAGATCAAGGGTAGACATGAAACTCCTTTCTCTATCAGGCAACCTGCTTGTCACTCACAAACACGTGTGTAGTATCTCCGTTTTCACTTCTGTTGGGTCTGGGGCCTCCTTACTGCCTAACACTTCTCTGCCCTCCCCTCCCACGCCTACCTTCTGCTCACCCACTAAGACGTACAAGACAGAACGGCTGCACTGTTATAGTTTATCTTCTTTGTCTTCTCCCTCTACATTAATTGTCCTCTCGTTCTGCTTCCCTGTTCCCACCCCCCCAACAGAACAGTATTTTTGTCTTTGTAGTCTCAGTACATAGTACATTGCTTGGACAAGTTAGGTATTTGGTAAATGTATGTTGCATAAATTAGTAAGAAAGGTTAACATTATTGAAACATTCTTCATGAGTCTAATAATGAAGTTTTATGTTTTATAGGAGGTGATTTAATGTGTGACTGGAAGGATCTTTAATCACTGCAGTATTTACGGAGATGTGCGTAGCTCATGTTGACTGGGTACCGACTCTGAGTCAGGGTCCGGGGCAGGATGAGAACAGGGCACACAGGCTTCCACCCTCTGTAGCTGCCCTCCTACTGGGGTGGCTGGAGCAAACACAAGCAGAAACGCTTAAGCCCAAACATCTCCTCTTGTGAGAAGTGCCACAGATATGATTGAGTAGGATATTGGGATAGAGAGTGAGGCCTCTCTGAGACTATATTTGAGCCAAGTCCAGTGGAGCCAAGAGATGGAAGGAGAGGGCTGGAGGCTGGCACTCTGGGCCTGCGTGCTTGGACACAGCAGGCAAGAGGCAGAGTTGCTGGAGAGGCAGGGCCATCTCATAATGGGCTGGAGACCATCGAGGGTGTGATCTGGTCTGATTTATTTTTCCTCATCACTCTGGTTGCCACGGAAGATGGAGAAGCTGGGCTCTGCTTAGAGCCTCTGCTGTCCTCGGGGAATGTGGCTGGATGAGTCTGGCAGAGTCAGCATGTGTTCTGGAGGTTGAACTGACAGGACTGGCTGAGGACTAGGTGTGGGGGTGAGACAGCAGAAAGGATCATGGCCTCCAGGAGCTCAACTTGAGCAGGTCAGTGGTTTACGGCAGCTTGACTGAGGTGGAAAAGAAACAGTATTGAGGGAAAATTGCAGTTTCACTGTAGAACATAGTGATTTTAAGAAGAGCTAAACAAGGAAGCAAATTAGAAATTATTTACAAAACTCAAGTTCCTCCCCCTCCCGTCTCTTTACTGCTTCTTCTTAAACACCCTTGTGCAGGACCTTTTCTTCTGGGCAGTTGTTGGATATCCTGCTGGTCACACACACACACTCCCACAGAGTCCAGCCGTCGTCTTGCAGAGGAGAGATCTGTCGTCCTCTACGTTCCCAGCACCTTGCCCAGTGCTTGGTGCATAGGAGATGCAGCGTAACTATTTACTAAATGAATAAATGTGACTTAGAATCCACGAGCCCAGAGGAGCCTGTAGAACTTTGTTTCTGTGATTCCTGTTTCTGCCTATTTAAATGTAAACTTAATCAAGCAATTCATGGCAAATGCCTTTTTCTTTCCTTAGAGTGTAACCTTTAGTGGATTCTTAGTCTCCAGTCTGAGCCCTGTGAGTTATGTGCAAGTGTCAGTTCACTCTAAAGTTGCAGTTCAGTGCTGGCCTGTCAAGAGCCTTTAGAGCAGACAGACCTGGGCCCAGGTCCCAGCTCTGAGACTTAGCAGCCATGGGACTTGCTTCCTCTTAGGTGGTTGTGGCCAAGCCTAGTAAGTGGGGACTGTTCTACTGCAGGTTAAATTAGGGCTACATGGTCATGCATGTTCTGTTTAGTAAAAGATGCACCTTTATGGTTTGTAAAGCACTTTCTTTGGGGCTTCTCTGATGGCTCAGTGGTAAAGAATTCATCTGGAATGCAGGAGATGCAGGTTTGATCCCTGGGTCAGGAAGATCTCCTGGAGGAGGAAATGGCAACCCACTCCAGTATTCTTGGCTAAAAAACTCCATGGTGGGCTGCACAGTTCATGGGGTGGCAAAGAGTCAGACATGACTGTGCAACAGAGCATGCCAAGCACTTTCTTATACAGGGTGTCACTTACCCATCATATCAGTGCTCTGAGGAAACAAGGCAGGTGTTTATAGTAAAGGAGGGAAGGCAGGTGGAGTCTTCATATCAACCCCCCTTACCCCCCTACCACCCGTTCCCCTGTAGGTCTCAGCCCTGCAGCAGCTGACAAATCCAGAACCTCCACAGTGCAGAGCAGAGTCCTCACTCATTTCCAGCCCTGCCTCCACCCCATGGATACCAAAATCTGTGGGTGCTTAAGTCCCCTCTATAAAAATTGTGTTATATTTGCATGCAGCTTACATACGTCCTGCTGTATACTTTAAGTCATGTCTGGATTACTTATAATACCTGATACACTGTAAATGCTGTGATAGTTGCCACTGAGTCACAGATTCAAAGTTTTGCTTTTTAGAACTTTCTGTAAATTTTTTCCCAAATATTTTTGATCCACATTTGGTTGAATCTGCCGATGCAGAACTGGTGGATGTGAGGGCCGTCTGTATATAAATAGAATATTTGGGCAGTTTAATATATTCATTTTGCTATTTTGCTTTTATATCATTTTTGAGTAATATATAAGACTCCTTTAAGAATAAGGAATTAAATGCCTAGTATGTGTAAAACTGTCAGTAGCTCCAAATTACTTGACTTTATAGAGATAGAGTAAGAATTCCCCCAGATAAAATGAATGCTCGTGTAAAATTTAAAATTATATATTCTTCCCTTGTTTTAAAGGTTGAATTGAAAGCAAGTATTTAAAATAGGGAAATCTTATTTTACAGTTAAATACTACATTGCAGTTTTTGTATTTTAGCTAGAAGAACCACACCTCTCTTGGAATATATTAAAAACAGAAAATTAGAGAAGCAGGTAGGTCTGGCTTTTTACCCTGTGAGTAGCCTTCTTGTTTCCATCATGTCTGTGCAGACAATTTATACACACACTTTCCACATCTTTAGCGAATTCGAGAAGAAAAACGAGAGGCGCGGAGGAGGAGGGAGCTGGAAAAGAAGCGCCTACGGGAAGAAGAGAAGCGGAGGCGGCGGGAGGAGGAGAAGTGCAGGAGGAAAGCAGCAGAAAAGCAGAAGAAAACGGTGGCGGAGAAGGAAGTAAGGATGAAGGTAACTTCCAGGAGTGTCAGAGGGTGGGGCTCTGCTTAGATTTGCCTTTCAAGAAAGACTTCCTAACTAAAAAACTACACATCTGAAACTGGCTGGCTTTGTGTATACTGGCCTTTCTGTATGCAGGCTGACTCATAGAACTGGTTGTGTCATTTCTTTTGCGGTAGCAGCAATGGTTTCTACATCTCTTTCTCCATCTTTTCTTTGACTGACTCATTCATTTAGCAAGGTGATTTAGGTTTTTTCTCTGTGTAACATTTAATGCCCAGTTGGGTCCACTGTTGCCTTCTTAGTATTCTGCTCAGGTGACCAACTCAGTCCCGATTCCAACCTGTCGTGCATCTTACCTCTTCTGTGAAGTGTTTAAAGTTCCCTTTAAGGAGTCATTAAAGTCGCGCAATATAAAGGGAAAAAAATGAAAGGTCAGGACCAGGTGGGAACTAGGTGGAGAGGAAAGGAGAGGAAAGAGATCACAGTCACCATAATCAAGCAACACGTCAGTTGCTGATACGCTCAGCAATCAGAAACAGAAAAGTTGATCAGAAACGTTTTCATTCTCCACGAGGAGAAAACATGCCATTTCTTCAAGGAAAGCAAAGCTTTTTCTAGGCCTTTTCTCTCATAGGTGATCGTATGGGATTCACTAGCATTTAAGGGAATGTCTTAACGGTGCACCTGTAAAACACACAGCCGTGTGTGTCAATCAGGACTGGCTTGGTGATGCTGCAGTGAAAGTAGCCTCAGGATCTCACTGGTTTCATGCAGGTCTTCCTGCTCACGTTAGGTGTCCATTGTGCATTGCTCAGCATAGCCCTCCAGTGACCCAAGCTGATGAGGCTCCATCTTGCATTTGCTTCCACAGTCTTTCTGATGGGGGATGAGATGTGTAACAGTAGATTGCACACTGGTTCATAAACCTTTTATACCTGCTGCATTTCACTGGCCAATGAAGGGCATATCCCCCTCTAATGTCAGTTTGAAGGGCAGCAGCAGCAGCAGGAGGATAGCCTGAAACGCCTATAGCATGAACAGCACTCATGCAGAGCAGTTTCTAAAGGCTGCTTCTTGAAATGTGTCCCCTTAAGTGTCAGGATTTGCTGAAAAACTCACCCCGATGGATGGTATCGGCCAGGTCATGTTGTTCCAGCATGTCTGCTGCGAAGATAAACTCAGCATGCAAGATAAGCGAGAAGCTGGACAGAGTGGTTTCCTTCATCTTGGCTTTGATGACAATTCTTACAGATCTATGTAGCTTTAAAATCTCATAACCTGATAATAACATTGATGAAATTGAGGGGCCCAATCAATATTATTAAGTGAAGATTGTCTATCTTGCTTATGCCAGGACATGGACCTAATAATAGTCAAAGCCAGGGTGTCCCCTGAAAATAACTCAGAGAGTGTCTCCTGTTTGTCCATGTGGTTTAGTGTGAGCACAACTATTCAGAGCAGAAATTAGCTGATACACTTCCTATAACAAACTTACATAGTCTCAGCAGTATAAATTAACAGCCCTTGAAAGATAATAAAATGAAGCTGCAGTACTATGGGAAGGGCTTTGTCATTGTAGAATGTCAGCTCTGTCATGACCAGAGGGGAGGAAAGTATATCCCCAATGCAGACCTTACACTTGCAGGTATGCAGATATTGTCTAAGCTTTTCCTTTACCTTTCTCAGCAAAATGTAGTAGCACCTAATGCTTGATATTCTCAAAAGCAGTTTTTTCAACAGCTTTGAGAGTTTTTCAGGAAGAATCATTGAAACTTGTAGCCTACAATTTTGACTCTAATTTTAAGTAAGACTTACAGTATTTGAAGTATAGCATTTTATTTTTACATGTTTGAATATAGAATTAGAATTCAAAATAAGCCAAAGAAATAAAAACAAATTATGTCAGTAAAAGTAATTGTAGGACTCTTCACATAGAAAAAGAAACCAAAACATGGGCACAGCAGGAGAAAGGCTTAGTCTTATTGAATCTGGTAAACAGAATCCTCGTGGCAGGTTAGATCCCACTGACACGAGTCATCCACAGCTCTGTCGTCTGAGTGTCTGATCTGATCTGGGCTTCTGACGTTTCTGACTCCAAGGGGAGCCTTTTATGAGCATGTGTCAGTGCGGGGATCTCTGACCTAAGATTCATCTGGGGAAATAAAAATTTAAAAAAAGGAAACCTAAAAAAATAAAATCTGTAAAGAAAGACCAAAAGAATTTGTATTGATAAGCTAAAAGTGAGGAGGCAGAGAGAGGTCCTCATGGCCCTTTTTTACCGTAAAGAAAATACGACTCACGGAGAGCAACCCAGTGGTTTATTTTCCTCAGAAAACTAAGCAGTGAGCTCAAGTTGAAGAAGGCAGTCAGGTTGCCAGAGTCACAGATGAAATTCCTGAAAACTGTGTACAGTTGTAGGCTATTATCTGAAAACGTTGTGTGATCTTTTCCACGAAGCTCTGTAGGAAAAGGTGTGTGAGATCAGTTTACAAGCATGGATGTAGACTGGATGGGGCACACACGTCCTCCCCGCTGTCCTCTGTGCTCCCTCCCCGCGGTCCTCCCCGCTGCCCTCCCTGCTCGCTCCCAGCTGCCCTCCGTGCTCCCTCCCAGCTGCCCTCCCCGCCCCCTCTCCACTGTTCTCTCTGATGCCCTCCCTGCTGTCTTCTGTGCTCCCTCCCCTCTGTCCTCCTCACTGTCGTCCGTGCTCCCTCCCCACTGTCCTCCCTGCTGTCCTCCCCACTCCCTCTCCACTGTTCTCCTCGCTGCCCTCTGTGCTCTCTCCCTGCTGTCCTCCGTGCTCCCTCCCCTCTGTCCTCCTCACTGTCCTCCGTGCTCCCTCCCCACTATCCTCCCCGCTGTCCTCCGTGCTCCCTCCCCCTCTTCCCACACAGGGAGTTCCCCCACCCCACCAGACTCAGGCCCTCTCAGGATGGCTCCCCTTGCCGTCTGCTCCCTGGGCACATCCTGTCTGTGCAGGGAGCCCTTCGCCAACCCCTTGAGAAACCATTCCTCCTCCCTCCCCCACACATTGTACTTTTATTCTGTTTATATGTGTCTGTAGCATTTTATAACCTCCTGAGATTATCTGGCTCACTCTTCTGTTTTCATCACTGTGGATATGGTTCTCCCACTCCCGTGATGCCACCACCTTGGCAAGAATATCAAGTGTGGGGCCCTAACTGTGGACCCTCATTTCGTACAACTACATTTCTAGCCCCGAGCCCAGACTCTCTTCCCCAGTTCAGGGCACATAGCTCATCAAATCCTTGCTACCTCTGGAGTGATAGGAATGTCTTGTATGCTAAGAGCTAACAGGTGGCTGGGGCCCTGGATGGCTTCAGGATGAAATCTGGTCATCAGAGAGACCAGGCATGATTACAGGGTTAGAACTTCGAGTGCCATCCCCACCTCCCACGAGGGAAAGGGCTGGAGATCGAGTTCAGTCATCAGTGGCCAGAGGTGCAATTGGTGATGCCTATGGAATGGCATCTCCATAAAAGTTCTGAAGTGTGGAGTTTGGAGAGTGACCTAGCTGGTGGACATACACATCCTGCTGCCGAGAGAGTGGAGGAGGGAGGCCTCAGACTGGTCCCAGGTACCACGCCCTGAGCTCTCTCCCAGCTGGCTGGGCCTGAGCCATACTCTTCATAACAAACCAGTAATAGTAAGTAAACTGCTTCCTGAGTTCCATGAGTCATTCTCATTCAAGGACTCCCTGAATTTATAGCCGGTCAGTCACGAGCACTGGTGACAACCTGGGACTAACACCTGGCATCTGGAGTGGGGACGGGGTGGGGGGGAGGAGCCAAGATGGCGGAGGAATAGGACGGGGAGACCACTTTCTCCCCTACAAATTCATCGAAAGAACAATTGAATGCAGAGCAAACTTCACACAACAACTTCTGACCGCTAGCAGAGGACATCAGGCGCCCAGAAAAGCAGCCCATTCTCCCCTACAAATTCATCGAAAGAACAATTGAATGCAGAGCAAACTTCACACAACAACTTCTGACCGCTAGCAGAGGACATCAGGCGCCCAGAAAAGCAGCCCATTGTCTTCGAAGGGAGGTAGGACAAAATATAAAAGATAAAAAGTGAAGTGGGGACGGCCCCCTGGGATCTGACCTTGACCCCAGGTAGATGGCGTCAGAAGTGGGTTGGCTCATAGGGCAACAGCCTGTGTTGAGAGTCACGGAGGTGGTGTTGGAAAAACTCTTTGGTTTCAGAAATATTGTTACAACAGTTTGTAGGTGCATAAACTATTTGTTGGATTGATGGAGACATTCACTATTGCGTTTCCCTGTGGTTTGCATATGTTACTTTTTAAACTAAAAAAAGATAGACTTGTTACCTGAAAGGATTCCCCATAGGCAGGTAACATAGTGCAGGTAACCTCTGATGAGAAGCAACTTCCACAATTGTGTCTGACAGTCTGTGTTTCATTATTAAATGATTGCATTTAGTGAAATGTGTCTGTGTTTAGTTTTTCTATACCACAACTTAAATAAGTTCACTTTTATAAGTGAGAGCAAAATTCTTACATGTAGACTTACATTCATGTTCTACAAACTGACTCTGCCTGTGGTACTAAAGTTCAAAGAGTAAGAACAGAAGGAAGGTCCAATTTCATAACAGAATCAGTGTATCAGCGTTACTGCTAAGTCTGTTACAAGAAAGAGAGCAATAGGTATTTTGAAAACTATTCTCAAAGTCATCAACAGTAAAACATCTTTAAAAAGTTTTTTTTTGTTTTATAAAAGTAATACGTGTTCATTTCAGAAAAACTAGAACCTATAGATGAAAGGAAAGAAAATCATTTCTGCTAACTGAAAATAATAACACAGTATTGCATGCCTTTTAGACATTTTTCTATTAATATATCTGTGAATCAACATATAAATAGGAATCAGATCATTCTGCTTTGTAACATTCTTTTCTTCATATATATAATATCTTTTTCATAACTACAAAGTACCTCACTGACTGAACGTACCCGTGTATATTTAACCAAAAACCTGTCTATTGGATCTTTAGCTTATGTTTTTGGCTATTCAAACATTTGAGCTCGATATCGGTGTATATTTTAACTTATTTACTAAATACTTTCTTTTTACTATACTCTTAAAGTGGTATTTTACTAGCATTATAATTTCTCAGCTTCTCAAAAAACCAGAAAAGGGAGAGGAACCGAGCATGGAGAAACCAGAAGAAAGAGCGGAGGAGATCGACCCTGGAGACGGGAGGTGGGAGCCCTGTCCGAGTGGGACGGTCCTGAAGCCCAGGCCCTTGGAGGGCTCGCTGGAGGAGCTCCGGGAGAGGTGAGCTGAGCTCTTGTTTCTCGGGCCATGTTCTGCACCTCAAGTTGTCATCAAGCTGTGGTCGTATATCCTTCTGCAGTGTGAGTAAATGCTTCTATTTCATAAATGTGCTTGGAATTCAGGAGTTCTGCTGGGGTGTGCTTGTCCACACCTTTGTCTCTGTGGTCAGGGTCATGCTGATGGTGAACCGGTCAGTCTGCAGCCTCGAGGCTGTCTTCAAGCAGGGAGTGTCCTGTCTCCACAGCCTACTCTTCCGCTGCTTCTCTTGGATTCCTGCCTTTGCTTGTGCCGTCTTCTCTCCTCTCACTCTCTTCCTCAGGGGGCTCTGTCAGTTTGTCGCTCTCTTCTCTGCTCTCGTCCCGTCTCTGGAACAGATGGGTGCTTGCAGATCTTCTGCCATCCTGCGCAGAGCCACAGACAGTATGTGGGGCTCATGGAGAGGAAGACTTTAAGATGAGCTCAGCAGCGACTTATTTACTTAGTATTCATTTAACAGTTTGATGCCTGTGTGAATTTTTTAAATTAACTTTAGCTCTGCTTGGAACAGAAACGCGGACTGTAAATACCAGGCCTGTGTCATGATGGATGTCCATCTGGTCTACTAGGAGAGCCCCTTGACTTCTGGTCTCATTTGCTTTATCTGTAAAAGAAACAGAGGGTTCCATTTATTGGGAATTACAAGAATGTATATATATGTGTGTGTATATGATACCTAGCATAGTGCCTATTGCATATATGTCACTCAGGCATAAGAGTAAATATTGTTATTACTCTTGTTTATTCATCTTTTCAAAGTTTCTTATTGAGCATCTGTCGCATGCGCGTCATGTGCAAACCTGCATAACAGTGATGAGCAGACTGTGTCTTCCCTGCCTGCTTCTAGAAGGGAAGACAGATAGTTGTCAGGCAGTTTATGTAAGGTTACTGATAATTTGTGTTGAATCACAGGTCACAAAATGACAGTGATAAAGAGCAAAGGGATAAGGAGAGAAGACCCCGAGAAAAAGAACTTGAAGCACAGCGATGCCACTCGGATGACAGCAGGAAACACAGAGCCCACTGTGAGCTGGAGAAATGTGCGGGAAGAAGCGGAGAAGAGCTGACGTGGGGGAAAGGACTGGCCGCAGACCGAGGGAGGAAAGGAAGCCAGGATGGTGGCTGCCGTACGGAAGCGGCTGACAGGCTGGGAAGGGAGAAGAGTGAAGACCGGCCAGCACCCAGAAAGGCGCGCACGGGAAACAAGGTTCTTTTACTCTTCAGGGGCCATCTTGTGCCCATTCCGCCTGCTCACAGCATAAACTGTAAGCCTGCAGGCTCACAGCTGCTTTCCCAAACAAAACTGTTTTATTTAACCAAGTGTCTTGAGACTCAGGACCACAGGCTTTGACAGTGTCTTCCGGCTCCCTGTCCTGAAAGGCCGTGTCTGTAGAGCAGTGATTCTTGTCAAGTGAGAGGGCACCAGGGCCTGAGATGAAACCAGCATCTCCTTTACTTAGAGAATTGATTTTTTTTTTAACCAAAAAAGGAAAAAAAACACAAAACCCTTTTTATTTAGCATAAAACTGCACATTCACACTATTTGCCTAAAACTAAGTAATGGAAAGATTATCTATTTTCCCCTAAGACAGTAAGGAATATATGTCTTGGTGCTCCCTTTTACAGTTATTAACAGTGTTCTGATTTTTTGATTGAAGTTTAGTTGATTTACAATATTGTGCTAGTTTCAGGTGTACTGCGAACTGGTAATTTTTTTCAGACTATATTCCATGATAGGTTAATACAAGATATTGAATGCAATTCCTGTGGTATACAGTAAATCCTCGTTGCTTATCTATTTTATGTTTAATAGTTTGTATCTGTTAATCCCATACTCCTAATTTGTCCCTCCCTCTTTCCTTCTCTCCGTTGATAATCATAAGTTTGTTTTCTATGACTGTGGGTCTATTTCTATTTTGTATATAGATTCATTTATATTATTTTTAGAGTCTACATGTAAGCGGTAATCATACAGTTACTTTCTCTGACTGACTTCACTTAGTACGATAATCTCTAGGCTCATGCATGTTGCTGCAAACGTTCACTATTTCATTCTTTTTATGACTGAGTGATAGTACACAGTATGTATGTACCACATCTTCTTTACCCACTTATCTGTCAGTGGGCGCTTAAGCTGCTTCCATACCTCGACTACAGTAAGTCTCCCACACACGAGCAAATTCTGCTCAGAGAGTGTGTTCATTAAGTCCAGTTTGTTCATAAGTCCAACAAAGTTAGCCCAGGTACCCAGCTAACACAATTGGCTATGTCGTACTGTATTGTAATAGGGTTATAACACTTCTCACACAAGTAATGCCTAAGTTTATTGAGTTACGAGTTGTCTATGTAGTTTGGGTGTTCACCCCTTATTGGTCACATCACTGGCAAATATTTTCCCCCGTTCTGTGAGGGGTTTTTTATTGGTGGTTTCCTTTGCTGTGCAAAAGCGTCTAAGTTTAATTAGGTCTCATTTGTTTATTTTCTTTTGCTTTGGGAGAGTGACCTAAGAAAATATTGCTATGATTTATGTCAGAGGATGTTTTGTCTGTGTCCTCTTCTAGGATTTTTGTGATGTCATGTCTTATAATTAGGTCTTTAAACAATTTTGAGTTTATTTTTGTGCATGGTGTGAGGGTATGTTCTCAGTGATTTGTGTGCAGCTGTCCAGCTCCCCCAACGCCCCTTGCTGCTGAGACTGTCTTTTCTCCATTGTGTATTCTTGCCTCCTTTGGCTTGGATTATTTAACTATGGGTGTGTGGGTTTATTTCTGGGCTCTCTACTCTGTTCCATTGATCCATATGTCTGGTTTTGCACCATAATGTTTTGATTACTGTGGTTTTGTAGTATAGTCTGACATCTGAAAGGGTTACACCTTCAGCTTTGTTGTTTTATGTCAGGATTGCTTGGGCAGTTCTGGGCTGTTTGTGGTTCTATATAAATTTAAGGATTATTTATTCTAGTTCTGTGAGAAATATCATGGGTATTTTGATAGGGATTGCATTACTTCTGTAGATTGCTTTGGCTAGTGTGGCTGTTTTAGCAGTATTAATTTTTCTGATCCAAAAGTGTGCGAAAGAGCGTGATAGGCTATACAGACCTACCAAGCTCTTTCCCACTCTTCTCATTGGCCAGGCTGATATTAAGGAAAAGGACGTTCTGGTAAGCCCCATGGTAACAACTGTGGGGACTTCACACACAGCCCAGGAGTGGTGGGTAAAGGTGAGTGGTGAGCCCTAGAGAAACAGCAGAAGACATGACCCCCGAGTCACACTGCCCCCCGTGTGGCCCTGGAAGGCCATGGCCGCTGTTGTGCCCATGTACACACACGGCTCCTGTAGGACTGGCTGGCCTCCGCAACAGTCCTGGCCTGCAGAATCACTTTGTCCTTCCCTGGCTTTGCTTTCTCATGCCCTGAAGCAGTTTTATTTCATTTCATGTACTTTATCCAGTCATATTTTTATCCCACCACCTCGAAGAGTTTAGTATGATGACTGGTTAGTATTTTCTATAAAGGGGACAGTTGAGGAATAAGCTACACAGACATTATAGCTTATTACAAATGTGTGTGCCTGCTCAGTTCATAGCTCAAAGGCCATGTCTTTGTTTCCAATTTTGCATCCACCGTGCATGGTGAGTTTGAGGGGCTGTGATGAGTGTGTTTGAGTTTTCACCTCTCACAATGGAGGGAATGCCATGATTGTACCAATTCCACAGAGTGGTCTAGGTTTGAGCAATAATACTTTCTCAGAAACTAACTTTACTTTCAAGTTATTTTAAATACTAACTTCTTTTTCATGGCCTATTTTAAAATCTCAAAATGCCTAGTTTCTAAGATAGTGCTATGAAAAAGGCTGATTTTTACCTGCTAGACTGATTTTCTTTAGATAATTAGGATTATCAGGGCCCAAAATAGATAGAGCTGTTGCCCCAACCTGTGTTTCTGGCCCTTGGAAGAGTAACACGCCTTCTCTCCTGGCAGGACCGGCCAGGCTTGCAGCTCTACCAGCCCAGAGCTCGCATCCGAGCCCGTGACTGTGATGGAAGACACCCCGAGGAGGGCCGCGACGGGAGGAGGGGTGAGGTGGAAGACTCAACGGTGGCTTTAGCTGAGAAGAGTGGAGAGGCGGTGTGGGGCGACATGCATGTTGGTGATGTGGGTCGGGGCTCCCCACCTCAACACTCTGTGGATTTGAGAGGGCGTTCCTTCCGGAAGTGTATAAATTAGCCTGGGATAAAACCTGTGCACTGAATTTACTCCTAGTGAAGAAATGAGAAACCAGAACTATAAAGGTGGCATAGAAATACAAGAAACCATTCTTAAGTAGTCTTTTAAAACGTTGAACAGAGTTACAGATTTTACCATTTCTGTTATAAACTGGTATATATAATTTAACCAGAACCAAAAGAAAACTAGTATTGTGTGAATTCTGAAGCACTTTCAACATGTTGTAGGAATTCCGTGGACTTTGAGTTTTACGCATTCATGAGTAAATGGTCTGTATCTCGTGCCTTTGTTGGTTTTCTGTGAGCTGTAGTTTCTTGGAAGTGAGCAGCTCTCATTCCTTGTAACTCTTGTAATTTGGTCACTCTGTACCTCCTTTCATAAGAGTTCACTAAGGCTGTGATGCTGTTGTCCCTCTGATAGGAACTCTAGCTCTGTATAAAGCCCCAAAGGTCTAATTGTTGCCCTTTTAACACTATGGCCACTGAATTAACAAAAACAGTTCCAGTCTTTTTGATGGGGTGCTCATGGTTTATAACATACATGGCATTATTTTGAAAGAGGGATAACTTAGGTATGGCATTGGGTATTTTTCTTTTTGCAGCCTGAGGCAGTTGTAAAATAACTTAATGTAGCTTTTTGCAACTGTGTATTCTATAACATTTTTTCTTTTGGTGAAATTTTAAATGTTAATGTTTTTGGCATTGTGCTCTTTGTACCATTTATTAAATAAAAATTTTAGTTGCTATGAATTTGAACTCCAGTTATGATACTTTCCTTACATAGAATGTTATGTGATAGAAAACTGCTTTTTAAAATGTAGCTGTAATCATCTGAATATTTTGATTACATCCATTCCTTATAAGATACAAAGTATTTATCAGGAAACTGAGATTTGTTATGAAAGCCCCAGCCTGTTGGGCAGGCGGTCTGCCATCACTGCGGTGCTCCAGCTCTTGACTCAGGAGGTGGGGGTGCGGAGGAGGGCTTGCTGTGCATTCAGTGAGGTCCGGGTGACCCGGCAGCTTCAACTCTGGCTGAAAAGGGCTGGATAGTAAACACGTTCAATTTTACAGGCGAGAAGGTCTGTGTCACACCTATTAAACTCTGCCATCATAGTGGAAAAAGCAGCCTTGGAATACATTTGCAATAGAAAAATGAATGGGTAGGGCTGGGTTCCTATAAAACTTAATGTATAAAAACAGGAACATTCAATATTTGGCCTGTGGACGACAGTCTGTTAGGGTTCATTTTCAAGATCCGTGGATTAAAGGAATGGTCATTAATACTTTTTGGTTTCAGGAATACTTTGCATTCTTAAGAATTATTAACAACCACAAAGAACTTTTGTTTATAAGCTATTGATGTTTACTGTAGTCAAAATTAAAGCAAAATGTTTACGCACAAGAATATATAAACATATGTTCCTTTTAGCTGTCAGAGTAATAACCTCACAATTCTACTCCTGGGTATAAATCTGAGAAAACAGAAAACACTAATTCAAAAAGATACATGCACCCCAGGGTTCACAGCAGCATTATTTACAACTGCCAAGGTATGGAAGCAACCTAAGTGTCCATCAACAGAAGAAAGGACAAAGAAGAAGGGGTATATATACACAATGGAATACTGCTCAGCCATAAAAAAGAAGGAAATTTTTCCATTTGCAGCAACATGGATGGACTTCAAGGGCATTATGTTAAGTGAAATAACTCAAAGATAAATACTATATGATAGCACTTATATGTAGGCTCTAAAACAGAAAACTAGTGAATAAAACAACAACAAAAAATGACTCACAGATACGGAGAACAGTTTACCAGTGGGGAGAGCAGAGGAAGGAGGGCAAGATAGGGGTAGTGGGTTAAGAGGTGCAAACTATGGTGTGTAAAACATTTAAGCTACAAGGATATATTGTACAACACAAGGAATATAACCAGCATTTGACAGTAACTATGAATGGAATATAGCCTTTAAAAGTTATGAATCACTATGTTGCACACCTGTAACTTATGTAATATTGTTGTAATGATAATGTAACTGATGTAATACTGTACATCAACTATACTTCGATTAACAATAAGGAAAAACGGCTGAATGGAGTGACACATTTGCTCATCAGGAGGTCACCACGTGCCTCTGTACGGAAGGCACTCCAGGCGTCAGCCACGCAGGTGAGGAGAGCAGACCAGCCCGACTTCAGAGGCCTTAGTGCTCTTCCTTTCCCACAAAAGGAATGGAGACCCTTGAGAGCTCACAGGCTTCCTCAAATCCTCTACATCACAAATGGCAGAATCAGTCCCCCTAAATCAGGAAATCTTAACCCAAAACCTGTTGGGTGCTCTTGTGACATTGTTGTCCTTCTGGCCATCGGTAGCTTCCATAAATTGGGATCATGATATTATGAAAAAGCATACGGTACACTTCTGTGGAATGGTCTATATAAGCTTTCATCAGATCCTCAAAGGAATAACTTTTCAGAAGATAAAATTTTTATATATTAGGCTGTCAGTAATCTGGCTTAAGACTTAAGTATTTAAAGAACTAAGATCATGGCATCTGGCCCCATTACTGCATAGCAAATAGAAGAGGAAAAGGTGAAAGTAGTGAGAGATTTCCTCTTCTTGGGCTCCAGAATCACTGCGGACAGTGACTGCAGCCATGAAATCAGAAGACAATTGCTTCTTGGCAGGAAAGCGATGACAAACCTAGACAGTGTGTTGAAAAGCAGAGACATTACTCTGCCAACAGTTGATGGCTTTGAACTGTGGTGCTGGAGCAGACTCCTGAAAGTTGCAGCAAGGAGATCAAACCAGTCAATCTTAAGGGAGATCAACCCTGACTATTCACTGGAAGGACTGACGCTGAAGCTCCAGTATTTTGGTCATCTGATATAAACAGACAATTCATTGGAAAAGTCCCTAATGCTCAGAAAGACTGAGGGCAGAAGGAGAAGAGGGCGTCAGAGGATGAGATGGCTGGATGGCATCACTGCTGCAATGAGCATGAACTTGGGCAAACTCCGGAAGATGGTGACGGACAGGGAGGCCTGCCGTGCTGCAGTCCATGGGGTCACAAAGAGTCGGACATGACTGGGTGACTGAACAACAACAGTAATCCAGCGTTAAATTTTCTTCACAATCTTCTTGCCATAAACATAAAATGGAGCAATTCAATATTATTGGCAGAAACTATCACCTAAAGTGACCAAGGAGGCCCAAGCTATGCACTCTGAGCCTTTCCCATTGGTGGAAAGGCCATGGGCTCCTGGTGGCAGTGCTAGAGCAGCTCATCCTAGACTCCCCTCCCTGCGGACAAGGGACAAGCCTTGTTACTAAAGGAGTCTGAGTCACTGTGTCTATTTCTTTTGGTTTGAATGCATGAGAAACTTTGTTGCTCTGCTGTGATGATTTTCAGAGAGTGGCCCCCCCAGGCCTCAGCAGCTCCTGGGGGTTTATTAGAAATGCATCCTCAAGCCCTGCCTCAGAACTGCTGGTACTCCCAGCTTCCAGCTGACTCTGAGCTGTTTGAGATGCTCACAGTAAGTTCTTTTTCTGCTTAAGTCAGGTAGAATTGGTTTCTGTTGCTTAAAACCAAGAATTTCAAAGGAAAACTGATTAATAGGGGAGTAAGGAAATTTGGAGAAAGGAAATTTGGGGAGATAAGTTACATTGCCCTGAGTAAAAATTCCACTAATATTCAGGGATGAAAATCTAGCAGCTTATGCCCTATGGTAGAAAATGACTAATTACCTGTGGTCACCTAAAACTGTTCATCGGGGCCAGGTTTGAGGAAGCTGCGTTGGCACTGCCACAGAACAGTGTGAAAGGGAAAAGGAATTCAGGATTGTAGGCAGAGCAGCAATTTCTTATAGCATTGAAAGTTTTCAAACAGCACACACGGTGTCTAAAGTGTTCCCACTTTATAGATATAAGAATTGGGACTTGCTATGCAGGTACTGAAATAATTTATATCTTACAATCACAGGGTTGAAATAGCCACAAAATGCCTGTGTGGAAGTTGGGTCAATAATCTGGAAAGAATGAGACTATGTATCAGAACTGAGGTACTTAGCCCCAGACCCACAGACACCCACTTGAGCGCCACCCCGCCATGCCATTCCCCCCACCAAGGAAGCTGGTTTTCTTCTGCTCCCCCTCCCCGACACCATCTCAGATCTGAAGTAGCCAGTAACAAAGTCCATGTCTAGAGGAGGCCGCTTCCAACAAAAGGAGCAGGCACTGTACTAACCGACGCCTACAAACGTGAGGGGGAGCACATGCAGGCATGGGTTCCCAGTGTCAGGTTCTAAACTAGAAAGAGAGAATGCTGGGTTGGGCTGAATTTATGGAGAGTGTGGTGATTTAAACATCAGTTCTGGTTGTTTACTCAACTGGTCATCCTAAATTCAGTGGTGGCCAAGTGAAGTTCGAGTTTGGCACAGGGAATCTTCAAGCCCAGACAGGTGCCTCTATCTGGGAGGAATCCACAGAGCTCAGGTAAAAGATAACTGAAAAAAATTAGGAAATTCTGTGTGTAAGTGAAAGTCGTTCAGTCCTGTCCGACTCTTTGTGACCCCATGGACTTAAGTCCATGGAATTCTCCAGGCCAGAAAACTGGCCCCTTCTCCAGGGGATCTTCCCGACCCAGGGATCCGAACCCAGGCCTACCGCACTGCAGGCGTATTCTTTACCAGCTGAGACACTACGGAGCGCAGACACTCACTGGACCACCAGGAAAGTCCGAAAAGGTTTCTTTTAAAGCTATTAAGTCCGGTCAAATGTATGGATCATTTTGCTACAAAAACAAAGACCTGAAAATTTCCTAGAACGAACCCGTTACTATTTAAAGTTAGAGTATTTCCAGAAATTAAAAGAACAGACAATATTTAGAATTTGGAGTGAAAGTGAGGATAAAATAAAAAATAAAATAATAGACTAGAGATGCCTGCATGAGGTAATGGATGCCGTCTGTTCTCACACGGAACCCAGCGGCCAGCCGCT